AAAAGAAAAAAGCTGGAAGTGGCGCTGTGGCTCAAGTGGTAGAGCGCTAGCCTTGAGCTGAAGAGCTGAGGGACAGCGCCCAGGCCCAGAGTTCAGGTCCCACGACCGAACCCAAAAAATAAAAATAAATAAAATAATAATAATAATAAATTAAGTAACTTCAAGAGATTCTGAAGTTTTTCCTTAATTTGGTCCAAAAAAATAGCCAAATCAACTTTGAACTTTGGCCTCTGAATTAATTAAGAATTTACAAGTTGGTTTACAATTTACAATTCAGTTTAGAATTTGCAAGTTGGTCAAAAGGTATAGCTGATCTTTTCCATAATAATCTTCCTCTACAGGGGACATCTTCTTATCAGAATTTTCTCCTAGTAACTTAGACCCAGAAAGCCAAACTATACTGGACATTTAGCCAACCAGGGAAAATAGCCATTCAATTTGAAAAAACATTCAGGTAACTCAAAAGAGACCAAAGAGAGACTATGACCAAACTGTTTATAGAAACCACCAAAGAATGAGGGCTACTGAGACAAGAGAAGAGAGGAGTGGCAATAAAAATACATATGTACCCATGAATACTAAGGAAGTGTTTGGGCCAGCTTCTTAGTTATGTGAGCTGCCTCCATCCCAGTACTGATAAATTATCACCAGGGCATTTTAGATCCATACACAATGGTGGACAGTCAATTGTCTAACTCTCCCATGAGGAAAGTGAAATGGAGAGAACTTCACATAATGTATGGCTTACAGAGGAGCTGTCCAGGCTCCTCATACAGTCTACCAAGCCCCTCTTTTGACATCAGGACTATGGCTTTTGAGATACTCTCTTTTTCCAGGAGGAGAAACAGTGATGTCAGCTTTCTTTCAACTACCCTACCTTTTATTACGCAAATAATAAAAGTACTTCTGCAAAGGGCAAACTGGCATGGAACTTGGGAACTCGGTGGGGAGGTAGAATTCTATTAAAATACTAGAAATAGACAATTTTCTACAAATTCTCAACAAGAAATCTAACACCCTGTGGTCATGGGAACTAGGGAATAAATAGCCTTAATGCTCTCCCTTGATGAGAAAGTCTTTGAAGAACTGCCACCACCCAGCCCTGTTTGTGGCTTCTGTCAGGAAGAAACTGAAAGAGGTGAAGCTTCAGTGTCCCTCCTTTGTCTGTGGGAAAGCTTACTAATCTCCACCGGTAAGCCTCTTCTGCAACCCCAGCCCAGCCCAAATACCAGCTCTGCTGATGGGCCTGAATAAGACCTTAGTTCCATATCAAAAGAGTCTTGTTTCTGGTCTACCGTAGGCTGGGTTCTGCTTATATAGAAAGAATAATAGGATGAGGTGGTGGTGATGACAGTGATAGTGACAATGGTGGTGGTGGCGGTGGTGATGGTATAGTAGTGATAATGGTGATTATATTGTGGTGTTGGTGTTGGTAATGGTAGTGGGGATGGTGGTAGTGGGGATGGTGTGGTAGTGGTGGTAGTGGTGGTGGTGCAGTAGTGATGTTGGTGGTGTGCTGGTGGTGGTGGGTAATGGTAATGGTGTGGCAGTAGTAGTAATGGTGTGGCAGTAGTGGTGCTAGTGGTGATGGTGTGGTAGTGGTGATGGTGGTAATGGTGCAGTAGTGATGTTGGTGGTATGATGGTGGTAATGGAGGTGGTGGTAGTGGTAGTAGTAGTATGGTGATCATGAGGACAGCTGTAGCTACAATGTATTTCATATCTAATCTTAACAACAATCCTTAAGTCTAAATATTAGCTCTAACTAGTGACAGATCATGAAATGGGCCACCAAGGAGGAGCAACTTGCCACAAAGGAGGAGCAACTTGCCAAGCCAGTAAGTGAAAGAGTCCAAATTCAAATCCAGGGATGTCTGACCACCAAAGGGGAATGAATGTTCTCAGAAGACAGAGCATTCCAGAAGAGGAGGTTTAAGATTGAACATCAGTGGTGATCCAATCATTGCATGTGAACTGTGACTAGTGCCTCAGCACAAGTGCACCTACTGGTGATGACCACATACCTCCCACTTAGCTCTGGGCTCAGGCCCATCTCCTCTTACACTATCTAACCCCCGGCTACTGCCAACACTGCATCTAATTCCTACCCGAGTCTCTCTGATTTCTCCCTCTTCTATTACTTTAGGCCTATGCCCTCAAAGTTTTTGTCAAGAAAGGTTAGATTTCCATGTTGAGGCAGCCTCACAGCTTGCTCTTATTAAATCACTTGCACTTGTAACAAATCGATTTTTTACGTAGCTGAAAAGATAACTGAACTGAGCACTAATCCTTTTTCGTAAAACATACTTGAATCCAGAGAGGAGACTCCATCCTTCTAACTGAAGTTCAAGAATAGAAATATATAGCAATAAGATCTAAAGCCAAGTCATTATCACATCAGATTATGGAAAATTATTTTTAAAATGTACCATACCTCTTTATTATTGTGTTGTGATGTTATTTTAATCTTAAAGAGAAAATTAAGAAAAGTTAAATATAAATATAATGAAGAACAATGATCCAATTGCCCACAAAGCTATACAGTAGTGATATATATATATGTTTGCAAGTTTAAATCATGAAGTAAAGAAAGGATAATGTAGAATAAGTAACTAGAACGTTAAAAAAAAAAGTAAAACCATACATTATATAATAACAGTTGAGTGAATCAGCATCTTTTTTGTGGTGGGACTGGGGCTTGAACTCCTGGCCTCACATTCTTGCCTGGCTTTTTCTACTCACAGTTGGCTATCACTTGAGTCCCACCTTCACATCCAGATTTTTTTGAAAGTTAATTAAAAATAAGTCTAGTGAGTGGATTTGTCAACCTGGGCTGACTTTAAACCTGGTTCTTCAGATTTCAGCCTCCTGAGTAGCTAGGATTATAGACTTGAGCTACTGAAACAAGTTTAAATCAGAATTCCTTACCACTAGCCTCACTTAAAATTAAAAACACCATATACACAGTAGCAGAACTGTCTATTATTTGGGAAGACTTCATTACCACATAGTTACTAACTATTCAGCTCAGAAAAGGGAATTTCATTCCATTTATTTATGCAATGTGCAGTTCTCTCCCTTAATCACAAGACTGCATATCAGCTAGTCATTTCTATAACAAATTACAGAACTCAAATTACCTTTGAGTTCTACACAAAGAGTCTACAACCTTATTTCAATGACAGCTTTTATGTTCACCCTGATTATCATTGAAATTAACAAGAAATTGAGATTACCCATGTAGTAGAACAACAAGTGGAAGCTGACTTCATTCTGGAATTCTTTGAAACATGTAGGTGGTAAGTTCAAGAAAAGCTTAAGATGAACAGATGGTACTTAGACATGCTTCACTGAAGCTACATCATGCATAAAATGGTTGAAGCAGGCAGAAACATAAATTTCATAGAACATAAAAAATATTTTGAAAAAATAAACATATTCCATTATCTTACTTTTTTGTACAGTCTTTGTTTGATTAGATACCATGTTGACAGCTTCAGATGGCAGACCAACATACACTCCTCCATAGTTTCTTTAAGAAAAGAAATCAGACCAATTTAATTGGTACTAGCCATAGTACCAATTGGTACCTATATCTATCTACCTACTCAGGAGGATGAGATCCAAGGATCACAGTTCAAAACCAGCCCAGGCAGGAAAGTCTACCAGACTCTTACCTCCAATTAGCCACCGAAAAAAGAAAGGCCAAAAATGGAGCTGTGGCTCAAATGGTAAAGTGCTAGCCTTGAGTAAAGGAAGCTCAGGGACAGTACCCAGGACCCTGTGTTCAAGCTCCAGGACTGGCACCAAGGCTATAAAAAATATGCTTTTTTAGTATGCCAGTCCTGGAGCTTGAACTCAGGGACTTATATACCCACCTGGCTTTTTCACTGGATGTTGGCACTATACCCAGTTCCACTTCTGACTAGTTTTGTTCACTAATTGGAGATAAGAGTTTCACAGACTTTTTTACCTGGGCTACAATTCAAACCTCAGCCCTCAGATCTCAGTCTCCTGAGCAGCTAGGTTTACAGGCATGAGCCATGAGTGCCTGGCCAACTCATGACTTTTTAAAAAGTTGAATTCATCATTGTCACTAGAAATATAGCTGTTTCTCTGTTAAAAGGTATCCAAATAGTACAAAAAGCTACACTAAATTAGTAGATATTTTAGATGTTTTACCTGCAATGAGAAAAAGCAGCAGAAATTGGAGTTAGTAAAGTAACAAACATCAGCAGAATAACATGTTGCAGGTGCCACAACCAACATTTATCAAGAATTCAGAGGTCTCCCTGGTATGAGGGGATAATACACACAGAAACACTTCCTCATAGGAGGGCAGACAGAAAATGAGGAGACAAGAGAGCTAAAGAGAAGTGAGAGGAGAGTTGACCAGAGGAGGAGGAAGAGGGTGCAGGGAGCTGAGAAGTGAGGAGGGAAAAGTCACTCGGGGGCAGGAGCATCCCAAAGACCACACCATGGCAGTCAACAAAGGCCAGATGCACAAGGCTAAAGTCATGCTTGCTTCCAAGAAGCAGAGGCTCTGAGTCCTTGGCAAAAATCTTTTCAGATCTTATGCTCCTCCTGGATTGCCTGTGCCAAAAGTTTCCCCCAAATTATGCAAATTCAAATCAGCTGCAATAGTGAACATACCTTCTCTTGTCATCTTCCGTTACTGATTCTTCAGTTCTAAAAGGTCAAAAATATTTCTGATGAGCCACTTGGTTACAGAGGTTAGGAAGAAAAGGAGATCATCAAGTTAATGTTGACTGTGTTTATTTCAAGTGTTTCCAAGTATTTCGACAGCATAGTATCCTGGCTCTCCTCAATCACTCACACACTCAAACATGGTGACTGTCCAACTCACCAAAATGCACAAATCTAGCTAATTCCAAACAAGCACAACTGCCAAGCAAAATGACAAAAACTGAAGGTAAGGAGATTGCAAAAGGAGCAAAAATTAGGCACTGGGAAAGTGAGATCACTTTGCTGTGTCACCTGCTTACTGGGTGGCATACAGGCTATGGGACAGCTGCCTGGCCCAGATCATCTGGTACAGTCTAACAGGTGAGACCTCAAATTCTCTTCTGGTCCTCTCTGTGATTTGGGATGTATCATCCAGTTTAGTGGCACAACTATGGGGAGGGAAAGATACCTTTAGTACAGAAAGAGTTAATACCAATTTGATTCCCTCTCATTTAAAAACATGAGCTATTTAATGTACAACCTATGAGGAAGAGGAAGACTGCTTCAAAGAAAACACTTAGGAGGAAAACCAACTTCAAAACACACAGAGGAAAGTACATTCTACCAGAATTCTCTGGTATATTTCTAAGGAGGAAGGATACCTTCCATAAAGCCCTAACTCACACACCTATACATAATACACAATACACAATACACACACACACACACACACACAATCACTTTTCTGAAAGAAAAATAACCAGATGAATTCAACATGTAATTCTAATTCTCCAGTCAAGCACCCAGACAGAACCTCTTGAATCTTCCAAATCTTCACTGAATCTTCTGATTTTAGAGATGGTCTAAGTGTGGTTCACTCACTTCAAAAATGAGGATACTTCCAACATAGCTGACACACTGCAGATTAGTTTGCCTCCAGGCAGGGAGCCGATCGGTCACCCAGCGGTGAACATTGGCTATGAACACAAATCCTACTCCAGTTGAGTGCAAAATCTACTTTGAAACTTAATTCACGCTAATTTAGCACAGAACTTAAAAGTTGCCAGACAATTATCAGCTTCTTTCACCTCTTGTTAAAGCTAAATGCTCTTCAATTCTACAGTGTCAAGGTCCAATTTTATTAGAAATGGTGTGAAGCTTATCGATGTGGTTTTAACAGTGCTATTTACTATGTTTAATTAAAATGGATTTATGTATCTCTAGTAGTATGGAAAGATGATGATGATGATGTTGATGATGATGAACTAGTCAAGATATTAGAATTGTTTACTTAAGTCTTGAGTGGCTGAGATTATCATCAAATTGTATTTGAAGTTATACATAATACCAACATGTTTGTTAGGTAAAAAATAAGCTTAAAACTAATTTAAATTTCCCCAAATAAAAGAAAACTATAAATTAATTTAAGTCTTTTATATCTTACTAATAATCCAATAGCTTAAAATCCAATCTGTGTTCCCCACTCTAATGAACCAACAACCTTACACAAGATGGTTGGGTAGCTGTGGTATTTATTAGATAATAAACTAGGTTTTATAAATCAAAATCCCTAAAAATATCACTTGCAATGACTTAAAATTAGTCGAAGAGCCTGCTTCAGTATATATGCCGCTATGTTTGAGGCTGCCACTTCATTCCTTCTTTCCACACACAACTATTCTTCATCCTAACTGACACCAGGACTTTAAGAACTAATTAGTACCTCCCAAGTGCCAGGCACAGTGGAGGGCACTTCAGTGCTAGAACTCACAACAGCTCTGAGAGCCCAGACATGAGGAAAACAACACAGAGAACACCAAGGAATTAATAAATACTGGGGAGTGACAAGCAAAACTAACCATCAAATCCCACATTTCACATTCTAATCCACCACTCTGCCTCTCAGGAAGACAGATGCAAAAGTCAAAAACAGCTCTGGTGAGAGATCTGCATGGGCCGCTTCTCCTAAGTGAGCTGCTTACACCATCTTCTGCTTCACAATCTGCCTGTGTGGCCAATCACAACCCTGTGGCATAGGTATTAGCCACAATGTAAGATGAAGAAACTCAGCCTCTGAAAGGCTGACAGCAGGATGATCAGAGGAATCGAGCAGAACCCAAATCCACGTGTGTGATGCCAATCCCTGCTTCCCACGCTGTGAGCCTATGCTAGGAAGACTACAAATCCCTCCCAGATGCATCTCTCCACTTCTTATCATCCCACTTAGGAAAGAGGGGAGCTATACAGTAGGTGGGTCCTCACCTGTCTCACCAGCATTAGAAGACACTTCTAACAGTTGCCAGAACCATGATCTTCACGAGACTTGTCGAATTGCTCCATGATTCCTTTATCATCTGAGTACATGGGTAGTCCTGATCAGCAGTTACAGTAGAATCTATTCACCCAAATAATTTGACTGTGGTTAAATAGGACAAAAAAAGCGAGTGGGTCTAAAGCAAATCTCCTGACGGAAGGAAAAATCCAAGCCATGGTTTAGCTGCCTGCAGCAAACCAAATGCATCCTGCAGACCTGCTCAAACTGGACAGGCCACGCTAAGAAAGAAGGAATGGATCTGAAAGCAGAAATAGGTCCCTTGGGACAAGAAGGCCCAAAGATCTCCAGCAGGTCACCAACAGCTCAGTGGCATTCCCTCCATGTGATTAGGTTTTCAGGCTCCAGGTAGGAGCTGGTCTGTCTGGGGGCAGTGTCACTGTGGGGCCCAAGAATGGCCCATAGAAGAACCATTTGAAGAAGTAATTATGCTCAGAGAGCAGGAGTACACAGGTCTGGATTTCCAGTAAATACCTGACTGGATTGTCACAAGAGATATGCCCAGAACACAGTATTTTCTAATATCAGAGCATAGTATTTTCTAATGATGACAGAAGCCTAGCGTGTACACACGTATACACACACACACATTCTGTACACATAGTATTTTCTAATGATGACAGAACTTAGCATGTACACGTACACACACACACACACACACACACACACACACACACACACACACACATTCTGTTGTGGGGGGCTCATTTCCCTAAAGACTGTTTCTTGCTCAGAGAAGTAGATATTATCATGTGGTAGTTCAAAGGGGTTGGTCACAATCTATCTTACCACTCAGGATTTATGAAGAACCTTTAAGCTTTGGGATTCCTGTCTTATTCTCAAGTTTGAGCTTTGGATATGCCCTAGCTGTGTGAACAGCTGGGCTGCCCATCTGTACAAAATCTGAAGAAAACCACGGTTCATAGAGCTTAAAACATCCCATTCACAGAACCTTAAATTTTCCAAGATTTACTTATCAATTCCCCTATAATAATTCATTCACTAGCTGAGTGCTGATGGCTCACACTTGGAATCCTAAGTACTCAGAGGTTGAGAGCTGAGGATTGTGGTTCGAAGCCAGCCAGGGCCGGAAAGTACATGGAACTCTTATCTCCAATTAAATATCCCCCAAAAACCAGAAGTGGTTGAAGTAACAGAGTGCTAGCTTTGAGAGGTGAAAAAAAAAAAAAAAACTTCAGAAACAGCATCCAGGCCCTGAGTTCAAGCCCCAGGACCAGCAAAAATAAATCATCATAATCCATTTACAAATAATTTCTTAGGCAAGTAATTGCCAGAGAATGCCTGATGGGCATAGAATAACAAAGGCTCCTATAAGGAAGAGATATGATAGGAATCAAAGGCAAACAAATTTCAAGTTTGGTATGCCTAGGCATAACATAAGTACATGCAGATTTCTGCTAGGTTTTGAGAAGAAATGAAAACAACTTATGGTCCATCTTCAATGGTGATGATCCAGAATGTCAAGCTGGGAACGGTGCTGGGGTGGGAACATCCCCAGCCATGTAGCTCCCTACAGCTAGATAAGCTCCAATGAGCCATGCTGAGCCAAGGAGCCTTGCTGAGGAGGTGATTGTTTTTCTTTTAGGGCCACTACAGCTCCAGTGGGAGGGCAGTGACTACTGCCTGGCTAGACGCTGTGATTATTAATGGACTACAAAATCTGTCCCCTCCAAACCAGGGACGCAAGCGGGGAGGGATAACAGAGTACAGAACCACACCTTTCCTAGCTTTGTGAGAACCCCAGCTACGGAGGCAGAGTCCAGAAGGTTCTCAGAAACAGGCAGCACAACTCTATTCTGTCAGGACTGAAGATCAGTCAGTGTAGAGAAACAGATGACTTCACCTCCTAGGATCTCCCCCTGGAGAACAAAGCCTGAAAATTGAATTACTCCATGCTAAAAAAGATAAACAAAATGAGAACGAGGCTAATTCTCAGTAGATGAACCAGAGAAGAGGCAGGCAGCTCTGCTGTACTTGATAACACTCTTCAGGGTGGGGACATAATTGGTCCGAATATGTCCGTGAACTCAGGTTACCCACAATCTTGTCCCTTAGGAAAAGAGCCCATACACAGGCGTGAACCAGGATAAATCTCCTATGTAATCTCCAAATCCACTTTTCAATTACAGCCTCCTTGAGAAGGAGCTATGAGTCAGGAGCCAATGCCTGCCCACCTACAAGCAGAGGCACTGAAATTGGAGAAAAAGAAAAAAATATGTGAGAGAAGGGATTTGGGAACAATAAAAGCACCCCCTTAAACTAATTGAAGTGAGGGGAAAACCTTGAGAATAAAGCTTGTATCTAGAGAACTAGAATGTAGAGCCATAGGAGATATAGGACATAGGTACCAAAAAAGCAAATCATCTAACTCTAAGAAAGTAAAAGATAAGTTCAATCAGTTTCCCTCCCACCTCCCCTCCCCTGGCCCCAAGTCCCCAGGCTTAGCAGGCTCAGCAGGACTTCTGTGTTTTCACTGGCATGGAGCTGGAGGCTGGAACTTGTGAGGGGGAAGGGAAGTTAGTACACATAAGCAGAGATCAAGAAGCCTGGAACAACCATGAAGACCATGGAGACAAAATCTGCTCTTACTGGGAGCCAGGCCATGCTGGATACAGAGTGATTGTCTGCCTCCTCCAAGTCCACCTCCCTA